AATTACTACAGTGATCAGTCTCCCCAGCAATCGATCAGGTATGAGATATACATTGTGCCAAGCTGGACCAGTGTAACCATGCAATAAAAGATCATCACTGGAGTTCAAGTGACACTAAGGCTTCGTTCACACGTGTGGCTAAGGGTGTTAAAACTAGTTGGTTGAGCCACGATTTTACCACCAACTCCCCCACATTCTTCAAGGGCATGTTGCATTTGTGGGGTGTTACTGCTGCTGAACGTGATCAATGCAAGTCTATGGAGCTGCATCAGAACAGATTGCAACACATGTGATTGCGGTGCAGTCGTGTGGCATTTACAAGGTCTTTGCTGAAGAGCGATCCAACATAAATGGCTCTTCAGAGGGCACTGCCTGTGTGAAAGACCTAAACAATATCCCTATTCTCCAAACATAATCCATACACATCCACTACCTGAAGGTCCTGGAATCGAATTCTCTTGAAATAATTTTTTACAGTTCTTCTGCCTCCTTGTGACGTCCTCCGTGAGCTCCCAAACCTCTCCTTCCCCCCTCATTTCTGTTTCTTTAGCATGAGTAGTGCATGTTAGTTGTGGTCATCTGCAGTGCTCTTGCACACAACAAATCCCATAGGCTTCATTCACACTTGTGCGTTTTGTAGCTTGAAGCTCCAAAAAAGCTCAAACTTAAAAAAATCAATTGTTCTCTATGGTGCCTGTTCACACCTGATCACGCAGACAGGCCCCATAGAGAACAATTGATTTTTTAAGTTTGAGCTTTTTTGGAGCTTCAACGTACAAAACGTTCAAGTGTGAATGCAGCCATAGTCCATCTCAGGAGCAAGCTAGAGAAGTTGACTACACTCTTACCTACAGTGGGTTCACGGGGAATGAAAAACATTCTGTGCCCCCCCCCCCATCTTATACTTACCTCAGCCTGATCTTGATCCAGTGCTTTGGGGAGCCATTGGAGCCTGCTGATTTCAATCACAGCCTATGAGAAGGGAGCGGGCCTGAGCTGTGCGTGTCAATGGACACATAGAGCCTGGCTTGGGATTGAGACTGCACAAGTGCCCCCATAGCAAGCTGCTTACTGAGGCACCCAGCAGTGGGAGGAGCCAGGAGCGCTAGTAGCGTATCCCAGAAGAGGAGGATTCAGACCCTGGTCACACTGGATGTGAATTGGCATGTGATTTGCATGTCATGCGACTTGCAAATCACATGCCAAATTGCAGCCTATTGTACGGAATTAGAGCTGTCATATCAGTGTGGTTCCGACTTGGTTGGAGCCACACCGATTTCTAAAGTAATACATGATACGTAGTACTTTTGGTGTGATTTACATGGACATCTGTATGGTCGCACAATTTCAAAGTAGGGCTTTATGTGACCGGGGGTAAGCCTGCACTGTGCAAACGAACTACACAGAGCAGGTACGTATGAAGTGTTTATTAACCACTTCCCAGCCTGTAGAATGTCATGTGACCTGGACTTTGAGTGGGGATGCTGGGAAGATGTCTGCAGCTACAGGTATGATTCCAGTATCTTTTTTTCAGCAGCTGATCCTCTGTAATGTAAAAGCAATCCTAGCAGTTAATTACCCTCTGGATTGCTTTTACAAGTGGCACAGTCGCTCTCTGGTGCCTTCCTGAGCTCTCCCATCTGACCGGGGAGCCTGAGACTGATGCCGGCGCTGTTGACTTAGCATAGAGCTGCACAGGGACTGGATCGTCTCTATGGTATTATGGTCTTTTTTTTATAGCGCAAAGAATAAAAAATGCAGAGGTGATCGAATACCACCAAAAGAAAGCTCTATTTGTGGGAAAAAAGGACGTAAATTTCACTTGGGTGCAGCATTGCATGACCGCACAATTGTCAGTTAAAGTAATGCAGCGCCGTATCGCAACAAATGGCCTGGTCAGGAAGGGGGGTAAATCTTCTGAAGGACAAGTGGTTAAAAGAAAGAAATGCTTGAAATACAGTTAGGTCCATATATATTTGGACACGGGCACAATTTTAGTTTTTTCAGGTATTTGGCCGAGTCAATCACCTGATCTCAACCCCATTGAGCTGCATTTCACTTGCTGAAGGCAAAACTAAAGGCAGAAAGACCCACAAACAAAGAACAACTGAAGACAACTTCAGTTAGATCCTGGCAAAGAGTCCGAAAGGAGGAAACCCAGTCTTTGGTAATGTCCATGGGTTCCAGACTTCAGCCAGTCATTGCCAGTAAAGGATTCTCAACAAAATATTACTAACGAACATTTTATTTATCATTATATTCATTTGTCCAATTACTTTTGGTCCCTTGAAAAAGGGGGGGTGGCTACTCTTAAGAGTTGTGATTCCTAAACCCTTCCTCCAATTTGGATGTACATACCCTCAAATTAAACCTGAGAGTGTGCACTTTCAGCCCATATCCATTATAGAACTATAGCTGGAATATGTTTTGGTAAATACCTGGAAAAAACTAAAATTGTGTCTGTGTCCAAATATATATGGACCTAACTGTATATCACCGTGTGTGATGAATTTGAGTTTTTGAATTGAATTATTTTTTAAATCAGAGTCCAGAGTCATTTTATTATATATTACAGGTAGTTCTATAGCGCCATCAATTTACGCAGCGCTTTACATATATATTGTACAGTCACATCAGTCCCTAACCCTCAAGGGGCGTACAATCTAAGGTCCCTAACTCACATTCATACATACACATACTAGGGCCACTTTAGACAGAAACCAATTAACCCTTTGCCTATCGGGCACTTATACCCCCTTCCTGCCCAGGCAAATTTTCAGCTTTCAGTGCGGTTGCACTTTGAATGACAATTGCGCGGTCATGCGACACTGTAATTTTGAAAATTTTATAATTTTTTTCACACAATAGAGCTTTCTTTTGGTGGTATTTAACACCGCTGGGTGTTTTATTTTTTGCGCTATAAACAAAAAAATTGCAAAAAAAATTGAAAAATAAAGTTTTTCTTTGTTTCTATCATAAAATTTTGCAAACAGGTAATTTATATCCTTCACTGATGTGTGTTGATGAGGCTGCACTGATAGGCAGCACTGATGAGGTTGCACTGATAGGCAGCACTGATGAGGTGGCACGGATAGGCGGTACTGATGAGGTGGCACGGATAGGCGGTACTGATGAGGTGGCACGGATAGGCAACACTGATGGGCACTGATAGGCTGCACTGATGAGGTTGCACGGATAGGCAGCACTGATAGGCTGCACTGATGAGGCAGCACTGATGAGGTTGCACGGATAGGCAGCACTGATGGGCACTGATAGGCTGCACTGATAGGCAGCACTGATGAGGTGGCACGGATAGGCGGTACTGATGAGGTGGCACGGATAGGCAGCACTGATAGGTTGCACTGATGAGGCGGCACGGATAGGCGGTACTGATGAGGCAGCACGGATAGGCAGCACTGATAGGCTGCACTGATGAGGCAGCACTGATGAGGTTGCACGGATAGGCAGCACTGATGAGGTGGCACGGATAGGCAGCACTGATGAGGTGGCACGGATAGGCAGCACTGATAGGATAGGTTGCACTGATGAGGCAGCACGGATAGAAGGTACTGATGAGGCGGCACGGATAGGCAGCACTGATGAGGTTGCACGGATAGGCAGCACTGATGAGGTGGCACGGATAGGCAGCACTGATAGGATAGGTTGCACTGATGAGGCAGCACGGATAGGAGGTACTGATGAGGCGGCACGGATAGGCAGCACTGATGAGGTTGCACGGATAGGCAGTACTGATAGGCTGCACTGATGAGGCAGCACTGATGAGGCTGCACGGATAGGCAGTACTGATGGGCACAGATAGACGGTACTGATGCTGCTGCATTGATGGGCGGCACTGTAGGGCACAGGTGGGTGGCACTGATCATCAGTGCCAATCCCTTCGCTGACAATTGCCGGTTCTCGGCAGTACTTTCCTCATGCCATGACAGCGTGAAGAAAGTTCAGCCGATAACCGGCAATTGTATTTACCTGGTGACCTGCTGTGTCATTGGACACAGTTGATCACATGGTAAAAGGCCGCCGTGATTGGCCGTTTACCGTATTACGTGATCAGCTGAGACACAGCGATCACCGGCGGCACGTGCTTGCCATGTTCTGGAATGACGTCCATGGATTACACAACCGCGCTGTAGCCGTCCTTTGCCTATAGCACGGTTGGGAACTGGTTAACCCACCAGCATGTCTTTGGAGTGTAGGAGGAAACTGGAGTACCCAGAGGAAACCCACCCAGGCACAGGGAGAACGCCAGGCAGGTGGAGCCATGGTTGGGATTCGAACCAATGACCCGAGTACTGCCAGATGGAAATGCTCACCATTTAGCCACTGTGCTGCCTACTTTCAGTTTTAAACCTGAAAACAGCTCCCTGTGAGGGCTCTCTGGGGATTTCCCGCTCTGGGAATGTCTATATAATTGGACTGCAGTGAAAAGGGGGAGTTCCAGTGATTGGAGGGAATTTCCTGTCACGTCCCTGGGATAAGAGTGAGGAGAAATCTCCCCCAATGGCCTACACAGCCCTCCTCCCCGAGGTCCCGGGGCTCATTGTATCCCACGTGACCCTCCCGGCACAGCCTGTTCCCTGTCCTGTCAGTCAGTCATGACGGAGGAATGTGTTGTCAGTAAACAGAGAGAACGTTTCACAAGCCGGAAATGCTCACATGAGAGGAAACTACCTTCCAGTGTCCCTTCATGAGCTCACCGAGCGCCTCAGTATCACAGGCCATATATGGGCATGGACACGCCTCTGTTTTTTTCTTTTGCACTCTCAGTGATTGACGTCATGGGACTCCCCAAGAAAGCCACTCCCTAGGAAAACCACTCACCCAAACCACGCCCCGGAGTATGGGAGTGGTTTGGTTGACGTCACGTGCGTTTAAATGCTCTGGCCAGCCTCCTGTTGTGTTAGAACGAATCGGCGTCTTGGAGAGTTGGGATTTGAAGGGGCGATCGATTCGAGGAGCGGATTACCTCCCGATCGATAACAATGGGGCAGTTGTTTACTAAACTCATGAGCATCTTCGGTAACAAAGGTGAGTTGTCTGCCATGTGTGTTCTATGGAGGTCCTGGGAGGGCTGACTAAGGATGGATCCTGCGATCTTGGCATGGATTCCATGACTGCTGTGAACTTTTCTACACTGCCTATGGATTATTACAATCCCTAATGATGGAGGGGGGAGGGATCAGTCGGCCATACACTGGCCGATTTTTATTGATTAATGCTCCCTTCACAGTGATGTATTCTGGGACCGCGCAAACAATGCGTTTCGTGCTTGCGGCACTATTCATTGCTAACGGCACCCCAAACGTGGAAAGAACATATGACAAATGCACCAAAAAGCTGCGTGAGCTACTTTGCCAAGTGTTGGACCTGTCAATTGAAATCATCAGGCTGTCCTATGGGTGTCACACAATAAACGCATGTTCCCGCTATGCTGGGTGGGAGCCTAATGTCACGTTTACTGTTTAAGGGGGGCAGTAAGGCCCCTTTCACCTCTGATAATTTGGGATCACGGGCAGAATCACTGCACCCCCCCCCCCCCCGAATCTCATGGCTATACAGTTGCGTGCGTTTGGGTGCCATTATCTTTCAACACGCACAACAGGATCGCGATGTAAACCCTGCCTTTACAAATCGCATGAAGCTTGGTGCCCAAAAAAGGAGCTTCTTTTTGAGCAACAAATACGCATAGGACCGCTCATTCAAGTGAATAGGCTGCCCTATGCGACGCGCAGAATCGCATGAAAATCGCACCTCAAAATGGAGGGTTGCCATTCATTAATGTGATCAGGGTTCGAAAACAGACAGTTCCTCTGGATCAACTGTGGGTATAGGATTATAACTTTTTTTTTTTTTTTTTTTTCTCCTATGGTTGAACTGGATGGACTTTTGTCTTTTTTTTTTTTTTTTTCAGCCAGACTAACTATGATGCTTTTTTTCCTGAGTCATGCTCCCTTTGTGTTTACCGGGCAGTACCGCCATCTCCAAAAGTGACCCATTCAAGTGAATGGGGCCACATCGCAGCCGGTGTGGGCTTTTAGTGGTTAAAACAGGCAGTGGGGAGGTAACACAACGCCTCCCAGCTGCCTGTCGAACACCCACAAAAAGGGATCCATTGCAGATCACTCTTCAGGGGTCAACGCTAATGTAAACGAGCCCTTAGCCTACTTGCTGATTTGAAGAAATTCAGCAGATTTCCCCATCCACAGTATAGAGTGGATGGACGAATCTTCCACTGGTGCTGGCGGCTGTCAAAATACAGTGGATGCTGTCAAACTGTGATGACTGCTGATTGGATGGAGTCACTGGTCAGCTGATAATTCTCCGCCCAGCTCCTTCAATTTCTTGATCAAAAGATGATGGGAAGGAGGGGGCTCTCGGGGTCATCCACTATTGAAATGTCATCAGGAACCAGCCAAAATTCGATCAATGTATGGTCAGCTTTACACCCTCAGTCAAGTTTTCATTGCCATCTCTGTCCACATTGGGGAGATTCAGCACTTTGTACTGGTGACTAGAGGTGACCTCAAGTGCATTTAGATGTTCTTCTGAACTTGTGTGGCTGCCTGGAAGATGTCACCTGGAATGGGCCAATCATCTGAGGCATTCCCACCCACACATACCACATGTATACAAGCCCCCCATTGCAGATGACTGCTTCCTTGGCCATGTGGGTTTTAAAGAGCATCTGAAGATGTTCCAGCTCATCTCTACTGGAGACCACCATTACAAGAAAGTGAGCTTTGGCTCCCTAAGAACAAGAGGTAAAGGGTAAATCTTATATTGGGACAGCATCGGGGGAGCTCCTTTCAATTAAGGAGACTTCTTATAACTTCCTGTGTTGTCTCAGAGATAGGAAGTGAAGGGAAATTTATCCCATGGTACACAGACAGCAAATTCTAAACTGGCAAAAATATTTACATACGACCCCCTTGAAAGACCAGCTGTTAAAGAAGAACTTGAGTAACCCCATGCATGCTCGCATTCCCTGATGAAACCAGTCACATGCCAGGTCCTGTGCTACTGTTCTGTACAGTGTCCTCATCTGGGGTCTGGTGCCTCTTCTGAGCTCTTGAAGCCAGCCCCCTGATGAGGTACCATTGTGCATACACAGGGTGCCTGAGATTGCCCCCTGGGATGGGTGATGTGAGTATCAGGAAACAGGGGAAAATCATTCTCACCAAAGTGAAAAAACAATACGGACCAGGATCTGCTGAAAAGGGTATTGCAGGGGAAAAAAACATTTTTTTCTGGTTGTGTAACAGGAGAGGGGAAGAGAGGTAAAGTATGTAGATCCGCTTTAGGTAGGTCAAACTTTTTATTCTGGAGGAATCCTTGAAATAACAATCAGGTCTAAGGGAGCCCTTACTAAGAACAAATCATTGGGGGAAAATGCCCTTTATAATGGTGGCCAGTGGGAAAAATGCCCACCTTACAGTGGTAGCCAAATTGCCATTCTTACAGATAAAAAGATAATGACAAACTATTGGTTCCTCCAAGTAGTATTGGGGCTATGCAGACATCATCACATGGGAGGTCAACCAGCCACTGTTCAAGGAAGCCCCCATAGTCCCTGGAGGAACCCTAGTCTTTAAGGAACGCTAGTAGAGGATGGCTAATGTAGGTAAATACATAGAATAAATAGTTTAAAACATTGTGGCACTTGTTCCCATTCCTTCTACTTTTACCCCAGAGGAACCCTTGAAATAATTTATTGGATCCAGGGAAGAACAATTTATTGGGGAGGAATGGGGAAAATGCACCCCTTACAGTGGTGGTCAGCATGCCACCCTCCCAGCATAATAACTGGAGAATTGAAGTCATGCCACTTTCTCCTCCAAGCAGTATTGATCCCAGAACTATGCAGGCACCATCAAATGGGAGGACAACCAGCCACAGCCCAAGGAAGCTCCAGCAATCTTTGGAGGAACCCTTGTCTTCATGGAACTCTAGTAGAGGATGGCTGATGTAGGCAAACACAACATTTAAATTGTATACAAATGTTGGCACTAGTTTCCACTCTATCTACTGTAAACTTCATGGACTTGTTTGTATACCTCATCTGCTTCTCAGCTATTCATGGACTTGTTTGTCTACTTCATCTGCTTCTCAGCTAGTCTGGCTTCAGACAAGTCCTACTGGGATTTGTAGTTCTGCAACAACTGGATGAGCTTAGACTGCCATCTTGGACACTGAAAGCCAGAGGTCAGGGTGATGAAGAATACTTTATCTGGGAAGAGCTTTACAAGCCACATTTCACTCTTCTCTTCTGCTGTCTTGATGCTTTTGTGTTCCTCACCCTCCTTAACCTTCTCCATTTACGTGGTTGTGTTTTGTCTCCTAGCTTGTGTATTGAACTTCTTCCCTTGCTGCGGGCTATTATTTGTGCACAGTTGAATGTAAATGGGTTTTAGACCCTGGTGTTTTTCTACAATGGCTCGGGAGGGGGTGGCTGTTACAGAGCTTTCTTCTGCTTCTCACAAGCTCTTTTCCAGGCCATAATGTTTTTACAGTTCAGACATTGCTTGCATTCCTTTCTCTCCACATCTGTCAGACTTTTCAGGGTAGAGACCTAAAGGGGAGGAGGAAAGTAACGTTTGCCAAGGGCCCTTAAAGACGCAACTTTTTTCCCCTCTAGCTTTGGATAGAGTGTGGAAGCGCTATCAACACTGCTACATCTGTCTGCTGGGTAGATTCATCCTCTCTATTTGTCTTAGTGACCTTTGTCATCAGGACAGAAAGTCGAGATAAATCCTAAAATTTTGAGTTGTCACAGTAACAATTGAGTACTGACGTGATACTTTTTTTATTTGCACTAACATACAATTTTGAGGACAAGCTTTTGGGAAATGTCCCCTTCTTCAAGGTCCAGGCAGTTGTCACAGTTAAAGCCAACTGTACACAAATCGGCCGATTCCTGCTGAAACTGCCAAAATTCATTCGGAAGGTGTCTTATCGGCACCACCAGCTCGATGACATTAATTTTGAATTGACTTTTGTTGAAGGAGTCGGGCAGAAAATTCTTGGCTGAACATTGCCTGCATCCAATCAGATGAAGGCACTAACTGAATTTGGCCATTGCGGTGTCTGTTCCTAGGAGCAGATCCTCTGTTGTTTTCTAAGGAACAGATGATCGGTTGGGTTATTGTAAGGATGGTTATAGTCTGGCAGAATTTGCATTGGAAACTTATGTTTACTGGTTTTATTCTCTGATTTGGAATGTTTGATTGTGCGCATGCAGGGGGGATTTGATTTAAATCACTAGTGAAAAGGCTCGATTTAAATCATAATTTTTAAAGAGCAACTGTCATCTCTGTCCCGCAGCGGCTCCTCCTCTGACCCGCTGTTGACTCACCGACAGTCCCATTCACTTTAACGGGACGGCTGGTGATGCGGCAGTGACACAAGGTGAGGGACGTGGCGGCAGCAGGGGAGTGGATGCCCACTAACAGGCACTGCCATGATGGATCTAAAATGACAGGTGCTCTTTAAATGTAAGGAATCCAACTCATTCTTGCTGGTAGTTAGAATCTTTAATATTTGCAAACCAAATGAAGGTTTCCTTTTTAGAATAATAATCTGTCAGGTTAGTAAAACTCGACATCAGAACCGATTTTAGGTTAATCACACATCTGGAGAAAGACTCAAATTGTTTTATTTCATGTTTTTCCTCATGGTTACTGTGAAATTGTGTGAATGCATCAATGCAGTGCATGTTATCTCAGCTTGCAGAGCTTGGATTCATTGAATGAATTCACCAAAAATGTAAATATATTGCAGAATATAGAGTCTCATGCTACATAACTAAGCTCCATTTCATGCTGAAGAAACTCAATTATTAATGTTTCTTAAATAGAAAACTATATTTAGATGGATTTTTTTTTTACTCCAGAAGCATTTACTGAAAGTAAATTTGACAAATGTCAAAATCCAATTTAAATTTTTTAAAAAAATCATGGATTTTTATCCACCCTGGGTGTATGCATGGTAAAAATTTATTTTCTTAACAGAAAAGGGAGCAGTCACTAATCACCCAGAGATTATGGAAATGATCAGAAAATCCCTACATGCAATTATATGCTCTTGCAATGCGAAAGTTATTGTTGAATTTCAGTTTTCATTTAGAGAAGATGAGTCAACCTCTTTCAAGGAGTTTTTTTTTTTTTGCCTTCTGTTTCCTCATTGTGGAGATTTATCCTTACTTTCTGTCTTGGTGACCCCAGGACAAGAATTCAGGTGTGGGTGTCACTGAGAACACACAGAGAGCATTAAATACCTGACACATTGGAACACCTCCTTACTCTAAGGCTAAGTTCACACCTATGCAGTTTGCGTTTGATCTGTGTTCTGCAGTGCGTTTTTGCTTTTGCCAACTTGTTGCTGGGCAGATTAAAACGTGTAAAAAAAAAAAAAAACTACATGCATTTCTGCAGCGTCTTCATTGAAATCTATTGAACCAAAACGCCTTTCCAAAAAACGCACTGGGCGAATACGCAGAGATGTGAACGTGTCCCATAGGAATTAATGTTAAATGGACTGTAAAATGCTTTGGTGTGAACCTAGACTAATAAATAAAACTGTGCTTTTGTTGCAGTCTGGTGCGCTATCAGAAAGCTATCCATTTTTCTATTCTATTGGGCTTAAATGTTCCAAAAATAAAAGGAATAGAGACTTGACATACAAGGGTTGGTTCACACTATAGAAACGCAGTCCAATTCCGGATGCGTTTCTGCATGCGCGTTTTTGACGCATTCTGGTGTATTTTTGTATTGTTGATGCTTTCCAGTTCATTTACCCCCCCCCCCCCCCCCCCCTTTCTTTTTATCCAATTTAACTGGGACATGTGCATTGGTTTTTTTTTTTGTGGTTTTTTTTTTTTTTTTTTTTTTTTTTGCGTTCCACTGCATTCCAGTACAGTTCTGTGCAGAAAAAAATGCAGCCTGTTCTACTTTTTGTTTGTTTGTTTGTTTTTTTTTGTTGTTTTTGGTTGTTGTGAGTGTGCTGTTTTTTTTTCATTTTTTGTTGTTTTTCGTTTTTGTTTTTTTTTTCTGCATGCAGAAGGCACTAGAACTGCCAGCACTGATGTGAACTATGACATTGACAACCATATAGACTACTTTCTGTGCGTTTTGGATGTAGGAAAAAAAAACACTGAAATGCATGTAGTGTGAACTGATCCTAAAGCAGCCCATAGATTATGTAGTTACCAAAAAAGAAAATTGCTTGTTGGTTGTTCTTTCTTCCCCCCCATCAACACAGTCAGTGTTGATGGGGGAATCTCTTCCACAGCGCTATTGTTTTTCGCATCTGCAGGACACAAGGATTGTTGCTGGAGGCTGTAGCCGCTGACAGTGATCACCTGAACAAAATCTGACAGACTGGTTGTACTGAAGTTGATCTATGAGTCAGTTTTCTGTCCAACTCATTTTATTTTTCAGTTCAGTCAAAGCAATTCCACCAGGGCCACCCACATATCGAATTTCTGAGGAACCAACTGAAATTCACTCAAGGAATGGCCAGCTTATGTCCTGACTAGCCTGGGTATAGGTCCACAAACACTTTTCAGAAAGCTTTGCTAAGTTCACAACTGACACTAAAACGGGCCACTTCAAGTAGTTGTAATATGTCATTATTGTCTTTACTTGTACTGCTCCTCTATCTATGTTGTTGCCACAGTAATTAGTAATAATACCTCTTGTCCATTTGTTCTACAGAACACAAAGTGATCATTGTCGGCTTGGATAATGCTGGAAAGACCACCATCCTGTACCAGTTGTGAGTATTTATAGTCCATCCTCAGCAGATGGCCTTTGGGCTGGAGAGGAAGTGAAAGACGTGTACGTAGTTAGCATATGGCTTCTAATTATGTGTTGGAAAAAGAAGACAGAGCATTAGAATGTCCCTAAATCTTTTTGTACTGTATGAAGGAACAGTGTTGTCACCCTGGGGCAGGAAGTATATTAGACAAGCTCCCCTGCATTAAGCCTTCACTTTAAACCTTGTACTAAACCTCCTCCAGTCCGGGCCATTTTTTGGCACTTTTTGTTTAACATTTTAAAATCATACATTTTTTTTTTTTTGCTAGAACACCCAAACATTATGTATTTTTTTAAGCAGAGGCCCTAGAGAATAAATTGGTAGGTTTTTGCATTTTTTTGTATGCCACAGTGGTTTTTCAAACGCAATTTTTTGGGAAAAAAAACGTTTTTAATTGCAAAAAACACTATACAGAACACAATTATTTTGTAAACTTATAGCTTACAAAATAATTGTTTTCTGTATAGTGTTTTTTGCAATAAAAAAATTTGTTACGCCAAGTAAATGGATACCAAACTTGTCACACTTTAAAATTGGACACGCCCATGCAACTGTGACAAGTTTTTTACTATTCATTGGCGACGTTTTAAAAGCCTTTACTGGTTACCATTTTAAATTTACAGGGGAGGTCTAGTGCTAGAATTGCTGCCCATGATCTGACGACCGTGGCGATAGCTGACATGTAAGGGGCAATCACTGCTTGCACGTGTGCAGGACCGATGCGTGCGTTCGTCTTTGCATGAGGGCGGGGGCACGTTAATAATAAAAAAAAAAAAAAAAAAACTTTTATTGCTGTTGCAAGGAATGTTGGCATCCCCTGGGACAGCAATAGACACATGGATCTGGGGTCTGAGACTCCAAATCCCTCCTCTGCACTTGAAAGCATTTAAAACACCAAGATCGTTGTTTTAAATGATTTCAGATTTTTAAAAATGGTGCAGAAAGTTTGAGTAAGAAAGTGATGTCAGGTCATTGTTTCCAGTTTGCTATAAAGGAGAGCCGATCAAAGCCAATTGCGGCTTTGTTCGGCTGTCTGGCCAGGTGGCAGATGCGCCTTCTGGTCGCTCGGGACACCCAGTGGGATGGGATGTCCCGAGAGAATGGTGGGAGGCTAGCTTTCTTCCTCCTCCCTCCTCCCTCCTCCTCCTTTCATATCATTCCCTAACCCTCAAGGGGCGTACAATCTAAGGTCCCTAACTTACATTCATACACTAGGGCCAATATAGACAAGATTAACCATACCAGCATTTCTTTGGAGTGTGGGAGAAAACCAGAGTACCCGGAGGAAACCCGCACAGGGAGGACATGTAAAAACTCCAGGTGGTTGGTGCCGTGGTTGGGATTTGAACCTATACCCAAGTACTGCCAGACGGAAGTGCTAACCATTTAGCCACTGTGCTACTGATCAGTTCTGCCATAGAAATTCCTTTTTAAAATGTTTAGTGATTCATTTTCTGTTCTTGTGGGGGGAGGGAAGGAAGAGTCTCTGTGCTGTTCTGGAACACTCGTGGACCCAGAGTTACCAGTAAGTCTAACCCGGGTTTTCTCCTTTTTTCCTCCAGTCTGATGAACGAGGTAGTGCACACGGCCCCAACTATTGGCAGTAATGTTGAAGAGATTGTGCTGCGGAACACACACTTTCTAATGTGGGATATTGGAGGACAAGAGACTCTTCGAGCTACATGGAACAGTTACTACTCCAATACAGAGGTAAGAATCTTAGGATCTCTAATTTTTGAATCTGGGAAAAAAAAAAAAAATAAATAGCGAAGGAAATCAGTATTTGATCCCCTGCTGATTTTGAATGTTTGCCCACTCACAAAGAAATGATCAGTCTAAAAATCGAATGGTAGGTGTATTGTAACACTGAGAGACAGAATGGCAACAAAAAATTCAAAAGAAATGCATGTCTAACAAATGATGCACTGATTTGCATGTTCATGAGGGAAATAAGTATTTGTTCCCCTTCACAAAACATGACTTAGTACTTGGTGGCAAATCCCTTGTTGGCAATCAGAGGTCAGACGTTTCCTGTAGTTGGCCACCAGGTTTGCACACATCTCAGGAGGGGTTTAGGCCCACTCTTCTTGGCAAATCCTCTCCAAGTCATTAAGGTTTGGTGACTGACGTTTGGCAGCTCGAACTTTCAGCTCCCTCCACAGATTTTCAACCGGATTAAGGTCTGGAGACTGGCTAGGCCACTCCAGGACCTTAATGTGCTTCTTCTTGAGCCACTCCTTTGTTGCCTTGGCCGTGTGTATTGGGTCATTGTCATGCTGGAACACCCATCCATGACCCATTTTCAATGCCCTGGATGAGGAAAGAAGGGTTTCGCCTAAGATTTCACGGTACATTGCCCCGTCCATCGTCCCTTTGATGTGGTGCAGTTGTCCTGTCCCCTTAGCAGAAAAACGCCCGTTAGCAGAATGTTTCCACCACCATGTTTCACAGTTGGGATGGTGTTCTTAGGGTCATAGGCAGCATTCCTCCTCCTCCAAACACGGCGAGTTGAGTTGATGCCAAAGAGCTCGATTTTGGTTCCATCTGACCACAACACTTTCAACCAGTCCTCCTCGGCATCATTGAGATGTTTAGTGGCAAACTTCAGATGGGCCTGGACATGGGCTTTTTTGAGCAGAGGGACCTTGCGGGCACTGAGGATTTCAGTCCTTGTCGGCGTAGTGTGTTACCAATTATTTCTTGGTGACTGTGGTCCCAGCTGCCTGGAGATCATTGACAAGATCCTCACATGTAGTTCTGGGATGATTCCTCACTGTTCTCATGATCATTTTCATGACACTCCATGAGATGAGATCTTGCATGGTGCACCAGACCTGGGGAGACTGATAGTTGTTTTGTGTTTCTTCCATGATTGCACCAACTGTTGTCACCTCACCAAGCTGCTTGGCGATAGTTTGGTAGCCCAGTCCAGCCTTGTGTAGGTCTACAATCTTGTCCCTGACATCCTTGGACAGCTCTTTTGGTCTTTGCCATGGTGGAGAGTTTGGAATTTGATTGTTTGATTGCTCCTGTGGACAGGTGTCTTATATACAGGTAACAAGCTGAGATTAGCAGCACTCCCTTTAAGAGACTGCTTCTAATCTCAGCTTGTTACCTGTATGAAAGACACCTGGTAGCCAGAAATCCTGCTGAATGATAGGGGATCAAATACTTATTTCCCTCATGAACATGCAAATCAGTACATAATTTGTTAGACATGCATTTCTTTTGAATTTTTTGCTGCTATTCTGTCTCTCAGTGTTACAATACACCTACAATTCAATTTGTAGACTGATCATTTCTTTGTGAGTGGGCAAACATTCAAAATCAGCAGGGGTTCAAATACTTATTTCCTTGTGTGTGTGGGTGTGTGTGTGTCTCTTGCCATTGATTTTTGTCTTAAATTTGAACACCAAATAATTATTGTTGTCTCGTTACATTGGTCCAACTTGGCACAATATAAGCATGCATATTTAATATGGAAGCTGACAATCCCTGTAGTAGTCCACTATTGTTGCTATCTTTTGGATCCTGTGCCATGTGCTTTCCCCTCTGCACACGGAGCACAGGGGGTCACCTGCTTGGCACTGTTGTCATTCACAGAACGCCTTGTATTTTCTTCAATGAATATAAGGCTTTCTCTAATTGGACAAGGTTGAGATTGTGACATTGCCTCTCTACCTCGTCTAATCGGAGAAAGCCATTGAAAAAATACAAGGGGTTTGGTGAATGGTGGCAGTTCCGAGTGAGTGACCTCCAAAATATTGATGTGGAACTGAGACATCGGTTGAAAATTGTACCAAAGCACCTCTCACTTTTGGCAGATACCAGTTTTAGTGCCCTGTCCTGTGTTTTTTTTTTTTTTTTTTTTTTTCTGACCATAGACTAAGAGTTGACTAGAGAGCTGAACCTATTATAACAAATGTATATTGTCTGACCATATATAAGTGTGTGTGTTGGTTTATATATATTTTTTAAGCTTCTTTCACACCAAGGGGTATGATCTTATATTTTTTTTAATGCCAGTAATCTGACATTCATTGCAGGTGAATCTTCCTGGTGCCATTAATCGTTTTAAATGACAATTCTTAACTACAAGTCAATATTTGGTGAAGTCACATTTACTGGATATATAAAATATGTCCTCATGTACACTGGCCGTTTTTATAGTTGCTGTGCTTTTGGCTTTTTTCCTTTTTTTTTTTTTTTTTTTTTTTTTTTTTTTTTTTTTTTTTTTTTTTTTTTTTCCCTACAACCAGTAAACTCCCCCAGCATGTTATCCTATGTGTCATGCACATAGGTTTTAATTAGTGTTTTTTTTAGCAGGGGCGTTTCTTGGTTAGAACAACCCCCCCCCCCCCCCCCCCCCCCCCCCCCCCCAGAACGAGTGGTTTTCTAGAGGAGTTTTTTTAGCTGTAAAACGCAGGAAACCAGTGTTTTTGCGTGTAAACCCCGATAATGCGGAAAAAACCTTTTCACGTGACTTTATACATTTAACTCTAACAGCTTTTTTAAAACGCCCAGTGTGCATGAAGACTTGGTCTCTTGATGATTCTGTGCATTTATTTTATTTATTTAATTTTTTTTTCAGTTTGTCATCTTAGTAATTGACAGCACTGACAGAGAGCGGCTACCAGAAACGCGGGAGGAGTTGTACAAGATGCTGGCACATGAGGTGGGCTGTCCTTTTAACTTTAAATGGTTTGCTTAGAGAAGTCTTTCTAGCATACCTTCTTCTCCCCCCCCCCCCTTCTTTTTTTTTTTTTTTTTTTTTTTTTTAATAAAAATTTGGTAAAAATTGGTAAATACAGGAAGAGTGGTGGAAAACAGAATGGTGGTAGCCCATGACAATAAAAATCTAGATGTCAGGTTTATTATTGCAGGTTGTTAAAGCTTAACCGCTTCCTGACTGCCCTATAGCAGATGTACTGCTACAGGGCGGCACGGGTGTGCAAAATCACGTGTGTGTGATTTTGCATCCCCAGGTAGGGGGCGCGCTCACTAAAATTTTCACATAAACCGTTTTGATTTACCCGTATTAGGATATTATTATTTTTTTTTTACTGGACATATTTAATAGTAAAAAGTCAAAAATGTGTTTTTTTTTTTTTTTTTTTGTTTTTTTTTTTTTTTTTTTTTTTTTATTTTATAGTGCAAAAAATAAACACACAGGCGATCAAATACCATCAAAAGAAAGCTCAATTCGTGGGGGGAAAAAAGAACATAAATTTCATCTGGGTGCAGCGTTGCATGACTGCTCAATTGTCAAAGTAATGCAGCACTGTAATGTAAAACATGACCTGGTCAGGAAGGGGGGTAAATCCTCACGGATGCACATAGGTGTTGCGTTTGTCCTAGCACCCATGGCTTGCCGAGATTGTACACTGACCTGTGCATTTGTGGCTGCAGTATGGAAGAATATAGGTAGTAGGCAGGCAAGGGAGTTGTATGGTAGAAGAGACATATATAGTCTCTTCTGCCATAAAAATGGGGAAAGTGAAAAACCCTCCCTTGCCTCTGCACCGCAAGGGTTAAGTGCTTGTTTAGGTTTATGGGACTGTAAAAAGGGATTTTACTTACCAGTCCTTGCTCCCTAGACAGTAGGTTCTCCTCTCCTCCCCTATGCTTTGTTGGTCTGTTCCTCTGTGTCTCCATCTCCAGTGCAGAGCTATGGACCCTGCACTGTACTTGGTGGTGCCAGAAGGCCTGTGACTGTCAGAGCATAAGGGAGAAGAGCCTGGCAAGACTGGTCTAGCAGCCCACAGGGAGCCTGCGGGATCGGAGGATCAGGTAAATAAAGTGCTTTTTCAGGTCATGGGCATTTAACCAATGCAGTGTGGGGGAACTCGCTGTAAGTCCAGGTTCACACCTATTGTGTTTTTTCAGAAATGCACAGCAGTCCATTTAACATGATTTCCTATGGGACAGGTTCACATCTTTGCATTTTCACCTAGTGTGTGTGTTTTTTTTTTTTTTTTTATGTAAAACGTTGCGTTTTTGGTTCTGTAGACTTCAATGGAGATGCTGCAGAAAGGCATGTCGTTTTTGACGTGATCTGCATTTTTTTATTCTGCCCAGCAACCCGCAAAATGTGTCAAGAAGCACTGCACTGATCAGAAGCAAACTGCATAGGTGTGAACCCGGAATCAGAATTGATGCTTTCCCCAAGTTCTGCTTTTGAAGCAGAACAACACTGTATCTGGGCACCGCAAACTAAAAGCGCTATTTGATTCATTTTTATAATTTACAACAAACCCATCCATCCATGTCTCCATGCATTATTTTGCTGAAAAATCACTTGGAACCCCCCCCCCCCCAGCATTTCTGGTTGTGCCCATCTTGAATAAGGGCAGATGATTCATGTAGCTTTTATTTATTTATTACAGATACATATATAGCGCTGTCAATTTTACACAGCACTTTACATATATATTGTACATTCACATCAGTCCCTAACCCTCAAGGGGTGTACAATCTAAGGTCCTTAACTTTACATTCATACATACACATACTAGGGCCAATTTAGACAGGAGCCAATTAACCTACCAGCATGTCTTTGGAGTGTGGGAGGAAACCGGAGTACCCGGAGGAAACCCACACAGGCACAGGGAGAACATGCAAACTCCAGGCAGGTGGTGCCATGGTTGAGATTTGAACAAACGACCCTAGTACTGCCAGGCAGAAGTGCTAGCCATTTAGCCACTGTGCTGCCCTACTTCCTGGAATCAATTTGCCTTTAGCTCAGGCATGCAGGTATGATTCAGAGGGTGAAGTTCCACTTTAAAGCAGAGTTCCACTTGCACTGTAAAAAAAATAAGTCAGCAGCTGTAAAAAAACTTAAAATACAGACACTCACCTGTCCCATGATACCGCAGTGTCCTCCCCGCAGCCCGTTACACCAGCCGTCCTATGTTCCAGGTGCTGACATCTTCAGTGTGGGCACCCGGCTGTGAGAGCTTGTGGCTTTACAGCCAGGTGCCCACTGCGCATGCGTGAGTAGCGCTGCTCTTCTTGAATGGGCCCCGTAGTCTTCTGGCACCTGTCTACGGGGAGGGAGCACAACATCTGATTGCCTAGGCGATCGCAGCGGAAGTGGGAGCGGGTACCTGTCAATTTCGGGTATCTGCTCCCCAAAGGTGCCAATCCTTAATGGGGAGTGGGGGACCAATCTTTAAAGCGAAACTTCCCCGTTTTGGGTGGAACTCTGCTTTAAGTTAACCCCCCCCCTATTTTAGACCATCATTCTTAGGTTTCCCTTCTTTGAATTTTCATTTCTCAAATCCAGCGTGTCAGAGTCTAAACAAATGTTTTTTATTTCTGCAGGATTTGAAGAATGCAGCTGTGTTGATCTTTGCCAACAAACAAGATGTGAAAGACTCCATGTCTGCCTCTGAAATTTCTGCTTCATTGGCGCTCAGTGCTATAAAAGACCGAGCATGGCATATCCAAGGGTGCTGTGCGCTTACAGGAGAAGGGTAAGCTTTCCTATGACAACATTCACATTTTTACTGTTCATGTCCCTTCTAACATGCAATTCAGACTATCGGTTGTCTTTGGTGTCGTGGCAGGAGGCTTAAGGGCAGCTTAGCTGTTCCTGAGAATAGAGATTTGTCTTTTCTAGTACCCAGTACTATTACATTTCTGGTGATATTTTAGGTAGAAAGGCCTCGTTGTTGGCCTGTATTATTTTTGCACTGCTACACGACCTTTAATGCACACTTGACTATTGCCCAATCTGATTTACTAAATCAGCAAAACTAAACCAACTTGTTGTTTATGACTGATGCAGTGCTTGCCTTTGCATCATATGTTTTCCAGCTGGACTGTATTAGTTCACTGAACTTGAGTTTCACCTTGTACAGTCATACTGAAACTGTACAAGTGCTTCGGGTAATGGAAGTTAAAACTTTACTCGCTGCATCAGCAACATATGTTTTTTCTAATCAGCAAAGTATACCAGCTACTGGTGATACCCATATAGAAGAAAAATATATTTGAAATACGATTGAAAAATATTCTTCCCAAATATATTGCCGTATATTTTGAAATACTACACTTTTGGTGTGTGTATGTATAATATATATAATATCTCAACACACACTATACAAATCTACATTTCTGGAATGCATTTACAATTATATGTAAAAGTATGTTAAAAAAATCTGAAGAATATATTTAAAAAATAATATATTTTTAAAAATGTAGATATGTATTTTTAAAGACATACAGTATATTTTGAAATGTATTTTAAAAAAATATAATTTTCATATATTTTGTAAAAACGTGTGTGCGTGTGTATAGATAGATCGATGCCAAAATTGTAGTATTTCAAATATTATTTTTTTTTTTTCTTCCATGTGGGTAGGTGAGCCCATCATGGACAAACCATTTACAGATGTTGCACCCTAGGGGTGGGGGTGTGTGTGATTCACTTGCACTCAGGGTTTGAGGTGTGTGGGTTTTTTTTTTTTTTTTTCCTTCCTTCTTCCCTCCATTAGCTCACCTGAAAAGTAGGGGTTAACAAGGCAACAAACCATCATTGTCATTTGCTGGGTTGTGGGTTGGTGTACTCTCATTGATCTGGCCATGTATCATCAGCATCACCTAATACACCTAGTTTAACAATGGCCCTTTAAATTCAGAGAGCCATGTGAATCTTTTAGTTACCCATAACCATGAAATTCCTTTTGCGGGTCAGCCTATACTTTTGGATGGAGTGGAAAGGGTTGGAATCTCTAACAGGCTTTGATTGGTCAACAGGAAATCGCTGTAAATGGTGGTTGTGGTAGCGGTGAAACACCAGTACAAATAAAATGCTAAATCCTTTGTGTTCGTCTTATCCACTTGCTGACCGCTCATAGTAAATATACTGCGAGTGGGCGGCAGGTACGGGCGCAATCACGGGCATCGGCCGCCTTCTAGATTTGGGTCGCACATGTGCGCGCCCCCTGCCAACCCGTGCTGAGTTTGGCAGCTGATTTTTCAGCCAATGATTTTGGCTGAAATCGGCTATGTCCAATCGCACAGAGTTTACAAAAACACAGAACTATGTACTGTGAACAGCGGTCTTACTGTTTCTTCTCCCTGGAAATCAGGGAGAGAAAACAGCAAGTTGGTAAAGTAAAGCTACACATATTACACTTGTTAGACACAATAAACCCTTTGATTGCCCCTAGATGTTAACCCCTTCCCAGCTAGTGCGATTTGTACAGTGACCGTGTACAATATTGGCACTGATCACTGTATTAGTGTCACTATTGATGTCTGTGTACCTCCCAGCCAGCATCAACTAGCGCCAGATTGCCCGTCACACCATCACAGTCCCACTAGGAGTCACTGATCACTGCCATATTAGGTGTGTGTTTGTGTATGTATGTATGTATGTATGTATGTATATATAAATAAAATCTCTATCATAGTGTTTTTGTTGATGCTGTAACTGTTGCACAAACCTGGTAAATCCTAATAAGTGTATATTAGACATTTTAGCACAATACATTTTGACCTAAATTTATGAAGGATTTTTTTTTTCTATTGGATATGTTGTATAACAAAGTAGAAAATCATCCCTTGTTGTCTTTGCGCTCGTCTCCCAACAAGGCCACTCACTAATTCAAATTTTGGCTGGTTCTTTAAGAACTGGAC